GCAAAGATGTGGAAACAACCCAAGTGCTCATCAATACATGAGTGGATTAATAAAATGTGGTATATGTATACCATGGAGTACTATTCAGCTTTAAGGAACAATGGTGATATAGCACCTCTTATATACTCCTGGATAGAGTTGGAACACATTCTCCTAAGTGAAGTATCCCAAGAATGGAAAAACAAGCACCACATGTACTCACCATCAAATTGGTATTAACTGATCAACACATAAGTGTACATAGAAGAATAACATCTATTGGATGTCGGACAGGGGGGAGGGGGGAGGAGGAAGGAGGGGACGGGTATTTGCATACAGAAAGAGTGCAATGCGCACCATCCAAGGGATGGGCACACTTGAAATTTGGACTTGGGGGGGGAGTGGGGAGGCGAGGGCAACATACATAACCCAAACATCTGTACCCCGATAATATGATGAAATAAAAAAAAAAGAAGACTCAAGGCTAAACTCTCATAAAATTAAAGAAACTCGGCAATCCATAATCCAAAACTGAGGTACTACTGTTAATTTCACTGGTTATGATTTTTCCACTTATTCAGAATTTTTAAAAGAACCTCTATTTCTTAGTCACAAAACTTTAGAATATTTTCTAAATTTCAGGGTTTCTGTAATCCACCCATCTCTGTTTAATGTTCCAAATCTTGTTTCTGCTGGATGAGAAAATCACGATGATAAAATTTCTCCTAAAGACATCATGTAACTTACCAATGACACACAGTAATAAAGAGTGAATTGCAACTGAAATGTAGGTCTTCTATCACCCAGTCCAGTGTCCTTGCTTCTACACGTTGTTATTTCTCAATCTGTAGTACAATTGGTATCCTGGGTCACCTACCTCTAAGAAACTTCTTCCTTTCAATCTTCCTTCTGAATGAATCTTTGACGTCCTTATTTCTCAGGCTGTAGATAAGTGGGTTCAACATGGGGATCACTGATGTGTAGAACAAGGAAACCACTTTATTGATGTCCAGAGAGAAACTAGAGCTTGGACGTACATAGATAAAGAAAAGTGTCCCATAAAGGATGGAGACAGCTGTCAGGTGGGAAGAGCAGGTAGAAAAGGCTTTGCGCCTCCCATCAGCAGAGTGGATCCTCAGGATGGCAATGAGAATGTAGATGTAGGAGACCAAGATGATCACACCACTGAGCACTCCCAGGGCTCCAGCAAGAGTGAAAAGCAAAAATTTATTGACGTGGATGTCTGCACATGCCAGAGAGAGAACAGGAAGAAGGTCGCAGAAGAAGTGATTGATGATATTTGGACCACAATAGGGTAGGTGGAAGGCAAAAGTCGTATGGGTCAAGGTGCTAATAAGGCCCATGGCATAAGGCCCCACCACTAGCTGCACACAGACCTGCTGGGACATAATGAGTGTGTACGACAAGGGCTTACAGATGGCCATATACCGGTCATATGCCATGGCAGCAAGAAGGTAACATTCAGTTACTACAAAATGGCCAAAAAAACATAACTGGGCAGCACAACCAAAGAAAGAGATTACTTTTTTCTCTGTGAAGATATCAGTCAACATCTTGGGACCTGTGACAGAAGAGGAGCAGACATCCACAAAGGACAAGTGGCTGAGAAAAAAGTACATGGGGGTGTGGAGTCGGGAATCCAACCAAATGAGAGTGATCATCCCCAAGTTCCCCAGGAGAGTGACAAGATAAACAAAGAGAAATACCAGAAAGAGCACAACCTGGTACTGGAAGTGATTTGTTAATCCCATGAAAAAAAACTCAGTAACCAAAGTTTGATTTCTGTAAGCCATTTCTCTGATTCAATCTGTTATGAGAAAGACAAAGAATTTTCTATGCAACAAATTCATAAGTAAAGGCTACTTAGTTTGACATCTGAATTTAACTTTTGTGCTTTTGTAAAGTTACATAGCAAAGGCTGACAGCAAACAGTCATGGATTCTACTTCTGGTGGTTCTGCTAACTCTCTGGTAACCATCTGGGTCATACTGAGTTGTTGCCTAAACCTGACTGGGCACTTCAGTTTCCTCCTTGATCGAAAGAGGATTTTTGTACAGAATCAGAATTTTAGACCTAGAACTGAACTTTGGAGATCATCTAAGGCAAGTCCTCTAACTGTGCCAGGTTACCTTTCTAAAGACACCAGTCTTTAAACCAAGGGTGTTTTGAGAAATATTTCGTAGAAAAAGGTTTTTATATAGATTCAATGAATTCAGGCTGATACCTATCCTCACTCCAGGTTAACAGTAACCCAGTGTTAAGAATGTAACTTCCTTCCTAATTCATTTAGATACTATAGCAACAGTTAGTCAAATTGTCTATGAGAAGGGAGGGAAGGCTGAAACAAGAGACCTTGGCTTTGGAACAGAGATCAAACAACTCAACATTATCTTGTTTGTGACGCTTTCTCAGATCTGCGTGCATTACCTCACACCATGGGTGTATATACCCATTAATGCATTCACTCTCCATCTAATTTTTAAGTCCATCAAAGAAAGGGCTAGTCCTCAAATATTAATTAGGTTCTGTAACCCACTCAGTTTTCCAGGTGCTTGGGAAAGAAAGACAAATATTTCAATAAAGAAAGGGGGCACTCCTGGGCATTTATTCCAGAGAAATGAAAACTTACATTCACACGAAAACCTATACAAGATTGTTCTTAGTAGCTTTATTTATAATAGTCCAAAGTTTGAATCAAAAGTTCCAAAAATAGGTGAATGGTTAACAAATTGTGGTACCATGGAATACCACTCAGTGACAAAGAGGAACAATGACAACAATGTTGCCTATGACACAGGCAACAACTTGGGTAGATCTCAAGGATGTTATACTGAATTGAAGAAAACCAATCCCAAAATGTCACAAACGCCATAATTTCATGTAGATAACATTCTCAAAGTGACAATATTATGGAAATGGAGAACAGGTTAGTGGTTGCCAGGGATTAGGAATGGTGACAGAAAGGGTGGTGGCGTGATTATAAAAGAGTAGCACAATGGAGATCTCCGTGGTGATGGCAGAGTTGTGTATTCTGGTTGCAGTAGTGGTTAAACAAATCTGCACACGTGATAAGATGATATGGAACTCTACATGCACATCATATTAATATCAGTCTCCTAGTTTACATGTTGTGCCATAGTTACATGAGACGTAACCATTGGGGAAAGTGGATAGGGATACATCAGACCTCTTCATGCTTCCTGTGAATCCATAATTATTTGAGAACAAAAATTTAGAACAACAACAGAAAAAGAACAAAATGAGAAGGGAGAAGAAGGGAAAATGAAGACAGTAGAAAAGAAGGAAAATTGAGGAAGGGAGGCATACATTTTTGATCATGAAATATTCATATTGATTCCAACAGCAAAATCACATGAAAATATTCATGTGATGTGTGTCAGGATAAGTACCGAAAAAAGTCTAACTCTTCTGGTCAAAAAGTTTAAAAAGGGCTTTGGTTACCTGCAAATTCATGAAGTGAAAAGCTGCTGGTCTTTTGTCGTCTCAGAAGCAAAGGAGCTTGGAAAAGAAAAGGCCTTGGGAGACATAAGTTAAGATTAGTAAGAAAAAAACTATTACTTTAGTAGTGAAATGTTTCCAGAATTCTATATTTTCTAAACATAGAAACTCATCTCGGGTAGCATTTTAAGTGTCAAAATAAATTTAAGTAAGGAAAAATTTAAAAGGCTGAAACTGGAATATACACATTGATGACCTCAAATAAACACCTCTGTAAACACAGGTAGTGAAGTACTTACACCATTGACAATTGCTATATTTTTGAAATTGGTATTAAACCTGAAATCCTATGTGAAACAATGGTTGTTGGCTGTGGAAAAGGCTATGAAGCTCTGTTTTTCCCACCCTTACCTAAGCCAAAAATTGTAATCGAGAAAAAACAATACTAGGCATGCATGTGACTTTGGGTATGAGCAAAATGAGAGTTCAACTCAGCTGACTCAGAAGTTTGTGTTCTACCAGGTAAAGTGAAGTAATCAAGACTCAGAGAAGCCAAGGCCTCTTAATTCTCACATTCTACAAGCCTGTAAACCTTCCAGCACATTTCACTATCTCTATGGCAAACACAAAATTCAACCATAATGTACATTTAAGTTAGGTCACTGAAACCAAAAACACAGACTAAATACTCTATTTGTACCAAGTTCTTCTTCATAGTGGCCTTAGAGATGGTGTTTTCCCAGGCTTTTAAACTCCGTTTTGCACACCTGGCCTCTGGAATACAATGTAGGTCTTCATGTAACTTACCCATCTGAAGAAACAAGCCTTAGACTCTTTGCCTGCCTATGCAAAGTGAATTACAAAAGCAAATTCCTGCTAAGAAAATAAATTACCCTACAAATTTTCCTTCTTCTCGGCTTCTTCGGGTGACCAAACAAGAAATAATAGAGTGACACCATCTTGACAATTGAGCTTTCCAATAGCATTTTTAAAGAGACTTCATTGACTCAATTCTGTGCAGCACACAGGAGAGATTTTTCTAAAGAGCTTTTCAGTAAATTGGTGCCAACTCCCTCAAGGAATCACAAGCTCAGGCAAGCAGGTCCACAGGGAAGATATTAAAGTTTTTTTCTGAGAAAACAATTTTGGTGATTTCAGATTAATGGTAGTTGCACAAAAAAAAAACTCTCTCATTCTCTGTCTCTCTCTCT